CGTTACACGCAATACATATCCAACACTGTAAGTTACGCATATTTTTTAAATACAAACTTAATCTAAACAACGTTCATATTAAAAATATATACATGACAACAAATTCGTTACAAATGATAATTACGTGTAAATAATATATGACCTTATCATTTACGTGTAATTGTCGTCATAATTGTTTAGTTGATATAACGCGATATCTATTATACATTTTTTTACTTATAAGATTGTTGTGTTTGACGTAGCTTTCATATTTAAATTGTTTCTCGCCTGACAAAGAGCTCATAAATTAATTGAAATATTGCATTCAATAAAACATTTTGAAATTAGCTTTAAAATTTTGGCAAGATTGTTAGAAAAATAACGATCTTTGCTTTCCAGATCATAATAAAAATTCACTTTTTATTTCAACCAATGTTTCGCCATTGCAGCTTCATTAGGGCTTATAGTAAAAGAACTGTTTGATATGAAAATATTTTGTTAACGGTAAATATTATTACGTACGTCACTTTAATGTGATTTAATAACATGAGAATGTTGTTTCATGTAGCTCAAGGCTATCTTCTCCCGAGTTCTTTCAATGAAAAAAAAATACTATTTGACCATACAAGCATATTAGGCTCGTTATTTTAAATGACGTTGAACAAAATAATTTAAGAAAAGTTCTGCTTCATTTTAACTTTTATTTCATACATTCTGATTAAACTTTGCTTGTGATATACAGTATAGTAAAAGCTTGAGTTAAGATAAGCTTATCTAAAATTTTAATAATATATTGTTGTAAGCTATATATATATTGTTGCGTCAGCGTGTCACATGACTAGTGTGACGCCACGTTTCTAGAACTATCCTGTACCTTGGCGAATGCTCTAGCCGTTTACTAGATATAGGGTAGTCTGGTATATAAAAGAGGGTGACGACGTGACGGTAATGTAATGTGTGTGTAGACAGTGAGTAATTGATCTGCAGTCAGAGAGAGACGTATTGTTGTTATAGCGTTTGTTTTAGCGCGATTGTTGAAATTAAGTGTATCGTAAAGTTGTATTCGGAAAGAATAAACCAGTTTTATTAAGTAAGGACTTGTGTCGCTAAAGTTTCATCGGAACGAAGTTACGGAAAGTTAATTAACAAACGGAGACGTAACAATATATATACATTTATATTTCAATGTTGTAATTTATTTATTAGCTAGAAGATGCTGCGGGTTATTGATGATAACGTTTAGTTCAGGAAGTTAAGATAGGCCTACAACTTTTAGAAAATTCTAAGAATGTGATGAAAAATCATATTTCAAGAATGTGACATGCAGTTGTAGTATATTCGAACGTAGATTATATAACAACGTTTTATGAAACGTTAGTTAGTTAAGGTATAAAGAGAATAGTTGTTTCGAGAAGACAGCTATTGCTCTACTTTTATAAAGTACGTGGATGAATTATCCATTAGTCCTAGTATTGTTGTTAGAGATGTTTAACATCCTTAATAAATCTAGGCCTACAACAAATTACGAAGTGTAAAAGTCTGTAATTTGTAAAGAAGCTTGAGAGAGAAATTATTTTGTGACTTTTACCGGACTGGACTTTGGATTATTTTCACCTGTTAATTTAAAAGAACCTGCAAAGAAATAACCACGTAACAACAGTATTTATTGTTTATCGTTACAGAATCATGAACGCCCTTTTTCTGAGAGTGTAAAGTGTCGTTTAGTACATTCTTGAAAACTATTCGACTACATCAAATAAAACTGAGATATGATTAAAGGTGTGTTACTTAAGGCTAGAAACTGGTTCGTATAACCCAAGAAAGTTTTTGGCAGGATTTTAATTCCAATTGAAGTGCAGCAGTTTTTCCGAGGCGAAATGTATCTGGTACAATGCTATTAGAGGACTGGTTAGTTAACACCAAACTGTAATGAATACAAAAAAAAATTAAGGGCTATAAAGAATCTGATAATTCTTATACACGTCTTAAAATGGATTTTTAGTACTTCTCATATATTTAACACTTGGAACCCTTTTTTTCATTTTAACGGTTAATAATAGTATTAATGTAACTTGAAAAATTAATACTTTGGTAGAAACATTATAAGCTTATTATCTGTGCATCAATAAATATTTTGTTTATTCTAAACATATCTGAAACACCTTGAGATGATTTTCTGGTACCAAATTGTGACTTCAGAGTCACCCCCTAGATAAAAGTAGCCAAAAGTACAATATAAGTTTTCTTTAGAGACGAGTTTATGTGGGACATCCGAAACATTTATGCAAAATATACGTTGAGGTTTGATATTGTTACGTCTCTGGTCGTTCGTTTGTTAATTTTCCGTAGCAATTCTTTCCGAGAAACTTCAGCGATACAAGTCCTTTCTTAAATAAAACTAGTTTATTCTTTCTCAACTCAGCTTTGCAATACACTTAATTTCCACAATCACTTTAACTTAAACACACGTTATAATTCACAACGATTTACACACTTTACTTACGGCTTGACTCGATATTCGTCTCTATCTCTGCCTGTCTGCAATTATCCTTATGCCGTCACTTCTCGCCGGTCTTATATATATTCAAAATAGAGGGCGTCTAGCAAACACTCGAACCTTCAGGAACGTTCGAGATACTCATTACGTGTTACCAGGGTCACGTGACTACCGCTGTCGTAACAATATTTAGATAAGAAAAAAAAATACTCACTGTTTAAAATCATTTGCTGCATTTTTCATAGCGCTAGCATTTTCTGGCCATGTTAGTTCTTGTCACGAAATTAATCTTTTATATATCATCCATTCATTGCAGGAAAACTTTTCAAGATCGAAGCTTTACATTATAAAGTATAAGATGCTGAGTCTAACGGTCTCTATTTGTCAAGCTTTACACTATATGATGCTGAGTCTAATGATCTTTATTCGTTAAGCTTTATATTTTAAGACGCTGAGTCTAACGATCTTTATTCGTTAAGCTTTATATTTTAAGACGCTGAGTCTAACGATCTTTATTCGTTAAGCTTTATATTTTAAGACGCTGAGTCTAACGATCTTTATTTTTCATCCATATTGTGATTAGCTTGTAACGCAGTCATTCAGTGGCCAAAGGGAATCTATACACTGAGGAACAACGGTCGTGCCATTAACTGCAGCGTTGCTTTCATCACGAAACCTGAACGATTTAGGCTATTAGCTGCTGAAGTTGGTGGTACTGGAATGGGCAGACCAAGCGTAAACCTTGAAACTGGAGTCATATATAAGGTTAAGTATGATTTATTGTTAGACATTCATCAGAAAAGTGTCATCTATTTATCTGTACCGATGATAAATATTCTTGTTGTATGCTCAGCTCTTGCCTTTTATATAAATATATATATATAGTTATTGACGTATGTCCTACAGAAATACAAGCTCTAGAATTTTAAATTTGTCCTACCAAATATGACGTTTATCTTTAAGATAGGAAGACGTCACGCTTTCCTTCGAAAACGTGGCAATTCTTGTAGAAGTTTTAATTTTTTCCTTGACTTGGCCAGAAAATAATGTTATTAACTTTTCCATCGACCGTTGACTGTTTTCATGTTTATTTTGCCAACAGTGTTTGCAGCCCTAGAAATGAGTGACTTACGCAGGTTGTTATGTACTGGATTAACTTTATATAATTACAGGACATTATTTGCTCTTAGACTTGTATTTGTGATCCTAAGTTATTGGCAAGATAATACAAATGGTATCATTTGATGGCCGTGAGAGAGCAGTTCATATTTGTTACTACTTTCGTGTAACTGTGCTCAGTACGGAGTTATCCTGTACAATTACCATTTTGCTGCTATTGCTGTTTTCACACTGTTTTTTTTTTAAATAAAAAGTTCTAATAATAGCTTTGTGAGCCATTTTACATTAATAGTTGCCTTTTGATCAGTAAAGTACGGGGAGTGAAGGCAATGTCTTAACTACAAAAGTTGGACCCCGAATAAAAAGAAATTGAGCCCCCGACATTTATTTCCCTTTAACTGTAGTCATGATTTTGGCTGATTCGGATCCATTTTGGCTCCCACCCGCAATTGCGGGGGCACATTTACGCCTCTGCGGGGGGGGGGGGATATTTGATGAGTCAAGAGAACATGCGGAATAGGGTCGTGTTGTGGGTGTTGAACTCATAACCTCTCAGAACATAATCTTGTGGCCCACTATGTTTAGAACTTTTTTAATGTATAGTAAGCTGTGTAATTTCAAATTGTAATATCCATATTTAAATTTGATAGGTCTTTGAAGTCTGTATTTTATTTTTGTTAAATCCTCTATTCGTGTGTAAAGAATAGCCCAAGGGTAATGCTTTAATGTATAATTGGAATCTTACGGTCAACGTCTAACATGTTTTGTTGGTCTGGTTTATTTGTTTGTTGAATTTTATGTATAGCTAATCGAGAGCTGTCTGCACTAGCGGTCCTTATTGAGAAGTGATAGAAAAAACCTCCCAATTCCAATTCTTGGGCTACTCTTTACCAGCGAAAAGCTGGAATGACTGTCACAATATAACGCCTCTAAGCCTGAAAGGGCGAGCAACCCAAAGATTGGAAGTCGAATGCCCTATAACCACCAAACGATGGCAGGCTTTATAGGTCTTTCAAGCGTTTTTGTTATCAAGATTACTCTTGGTGAATTTTATTTATTCCTTTGCTTTATAGCAAAGCCACATTGGACTATCTGCTGTGTCCACCCATGGAATCGAACCCAGGATTTTAGCGTTGCAAGTCTGTAAACTTAACCCTTTCCCACTGGGGACATGATGAATTTTAGCTTTCATTTTTAACTGTGTGCTATTTCATTATGTTCTTCGGGTTTTCTCTAGTTTTAAGACTTGCATAACCTCAATATTTCTTTGAATAACGATTGTTTTGTTTTGTTTTTGTTTTTTAATTATGCACA